GGGGGGATCTTTGTTGATCCTGCACATTTAGCCACCATTTCTGGCGGGCTGAACAATCCCTATAATTTGTGGTTTTAGTTGTTCTGATTGGCATTTAAGTGGGTATTTTGCAGAGAATTAGCATTTGCAATAGAAACTTCTTTCCCACAACTATCTACTTGTGTAACTATGACAGTGCCCTATATACTCACGGTTCAGCCTTTCATGTATAGCCCATACATCTGCTTTCCATTCTGTAATGGGCATCAGAACTCTAGCCTGCAGCTACAGCATACCCCTTCCTTCAGGTTCGTAGGTTATTTCTTTTCCTACCTAGGAAATGTACTTAGGGCTACAGATGTTCATTTTCTTCCTCCTTTTCCCATATACCAGTTTACATTTTTCTGTAGGTGAAATTGGTCCACAATGAATCTCTGATTTGAGTTCAGAGATTGATGGTTGATTTTTAAATCTGTGAATTTATACACTGTATTCAATATTCTGTTTGCAGGCTCGAAGCATAAATGTGAAAACACAAGTTCATTCACAGTACAAAGATATATTTAGCTTGGAGATTGTGGGCCCCATCATGCCTCATTCTTTGCATTCTTTGTCAATGCTGCTCAAAATTGCTCAAAGGGGAACCTTTTCTGCTATGTGTTACACACATGAGCCAACAGCAGTGTTCAATACAGGCACCAGCAATGAGAAGAGCTTAACAAAAGTAAGTAGATTCTACTGGGATCTATCCAACTGGAAACCAGGGTGGGGGGAGAAGACTAATAAGACTAGCTACTGGGGAGTGTGACTGAGAGTTCTTGTAGACTAAGCGACAAACTAGATGCGTCCTCATATCATGGCTGATATGAGGTCACCGCCACCATTTTAAAATCATTTAAAAATGCTGGAAGGGCCTGATCATGATCAAGCCCACGGAGCAGTGCTCTTGTTCCCCTACTACCTTTTCATGTGTCTAAACAGCCATTGGGTGTGCGTGCGTGCACACACAGAGCCATTTAGGTAGTTGATAAGGCATGGGGGCAAGAGTGCCTCAGCTCACTAGTTTGGCCTCAAGAATCCAATAATCCTGATGAAATAGTATGTAATCAGTAAATTAATGTACCAGCAATGCAAATAAAAGTGTTCTGTGTGTCTCATGGATATGAATTTTCACAGGAATCTAAAGACCTTAGTAGGACTGGACTGCATCCCAGCACCTTGAATCAACTGGTACTCTCTTCAACATTAGGGAAGTCTTCTATTCGGCTCTTAGAAATGAATGATTACATCTATACATGGAAATCCTAAGTAAACGGTGTCACTCAACAAATAAGTTGCCATTGGCATTCTTTGAACACTCAAGCTGCTGTTATGCCCATCTAAAACAGCATTGCAGGAAGATCATCTTGCTTATAAAACTGTAATCTAGTCCTACAGTGGGCTAACTTTCATAGTGAATGGATCAAACTTGACTATTCTGTGTAGCTTAACACCACTGCCTCCTTAAAGCAAACAGCTGGATTTGTATTTCTTTTAAATTAAACTTCATAATGAGGAGCCTTGTACATTTTCCTTGACTATTTTGCAAGACAGACCAGTTGCTAAAATTACTGGCTAACCCTACCCCTAATTTTACAGGACTTTTCATTGAATTGTAGCTGCTGAGACTTCAAGTGCAAGGGAAGACTAGACTTTTCCCCCTAGTCCTTGTTTTTTAACCCCTCCCTGTTACCCTTTCAAACTGCTTTTACCTTGTTGAGGAAGAAGATACAGGTACCTGTATTTTCATGGGGAAACAGCATGGGAAGCACTGAGTGCAAACTGCAAAGATGATCTGCATGTGCAGATATCAGAACTGCTCTAGAACTTACACCATTCATACTTGCAGATAGCAGCAGATGTCTACCAGTAGCAAAGGGCGGAGCTGCATATTTCCTGCCTTTATAATTTGTTGTCATATCAGCAATAGGTACGTTTGCACACCCGCTGTGACACATCACAAAAGGGAAGAGTCAGTTTTCACATCTAATGATTTAATACAAATGTGCTTAGCCACCTTGACGATACTAATGGAATGACCATTGGGCACTTCTCCTCTGAGGAAAGGAGGACATCTTGCTGGGAGATTCCCACCCTCCAGTCAGGGAGGCAGGAACATTTTTTTTTAACTTCCTGTCTCTTGCCTGTGGGAGTCACCAGTTTTGGTAACTCTGAAAGCAGTAAGACTGTAAAGTCAATTCAAGGAAAGAACAGACAGACAAGAACACACCGACAACCTAGATAAGGAAAAAACAGGCAAACAGTACTTGTGAGACAAGAAGTGTACCTGCTGAATAACTAGTTTGACGATGACTTTAGGAGGGACAAGATGTCCTTTCCTCAGAGAAGAAGGACCCTTCACGGTAAGTGTCCAATGGTTATTCTCCATATGAAGCGAAGGACATCTTGCTGGGACCTCCCAGAGCAGTGTCCTCATTTACTGGGTAGGTCATCGCCGTCAGGATCTAGAATATATTGTAAGTCACTTCCAAAGGCTAAGTCAGCTAAGTCCTAGAAGTTCACCTTAGAGTGCCCTACGCAGGTGGATATTGACAACCATGTGTTTGCCTTGCCTATCTCTTTGACTGTGGCGTGTTTGGTTAGGGCAGTGTTGGTTGTGGCACTTAGAACTGAGTGTGCAGTGATCCCAGATGGTATTTCAAATACTGAGCTTTGTAAGCTTCAATAATGTAGGTCTTACGAGTACTGCCAATGTCCAATTGACATCCTCCTTCCTTCATTCAGTGGAGAGATAAAGATTAATAAGGAAGTGAGAAGGTAACAGCATTCCATACGCCTTGGTGTTTAGTCATGCTGGCCACATGACCATGGAAATGTCTTCGGACAGCGCTGGCTCTTCGGCTTTGAAACAGAGATGAGCACCGCAACCCTAGAGTCGGATTCGACTGGCTTTCGAGCAAGGGAACCGTTACCTTTTACCTTACTTCCAAGGCCTGCTGCAGTTTATCCTTCGGATGGATAGGATTCAGGTGAAATGGGAAAGACTAAAATCTTCTGGGACCTGTGAAAGGTCAAATTTGCCTTCAGTGTAAAGGCAGTATCTGTCTTCGTGACCCTTTTGTCTCTATGGAAAACTCATAGTTCAGGCTTGACTGAACAAGTGCCTAGAACAGAAAGCCTACCTGAGGTGCCTGCTACAAGAAAAATAAGATTTTCATCCTCGCTATTTAAGTGGAATTTCTTTAATAGAATCAAATAGTGTCTGGCGAAACCGAGAGTATGGTACAGAATTTCTGCATTAGAAACCTTCATCTTCGTGGTGGTTCATTTAGAGCAGTACCCTTCGGAAGGTGGCAAGCTTGAAGGTGTCTAGATAGGCTCAGACCTTGGAACAGAGGTAACACCGTTGTCAGAGTTGCAGCTTGACATTGTAAAGGAAGAATCCTTGAGCCCATCATATCCCTCTTATAGAAAGAATAGAACCTATTTAGTCTTAGTCTTCAAGAGGTCGATACCTTTTCTCCTACTCTGCCCGATGGGAGTCCTCCATGAAGTACCATAAATTAATCTAGCCAGGTATCCATTGCATTTTGTCAAAAAGCCTAGACATAATGGTCACCTCCTTTGATCTCTAAGCAGCTAAACACAGCCATCCTGAATGTGGAAGCCATACCGGACCTTGTTAAAGCGTGGTCGGTTCGCCCTATCTTTTTTTTTAACTGTCCCAAAGGACAGGATTTTATTAATTTTCCAAACAATACACATACAAGTAGACATACGACATATAACATATATGAGGGTAAATATAAGAGCTTAACCATCGTGAAATTGCCTTCTAAGTCTAGACTTTGCTTCATTTTCCGTTATAATATATTAAGCACTTCTGTGAAGACTTATACCATACATTGAGTATCTAAAGCTGCATTTTTAAAATTATAAACCAATGTTTACTGTCTTAAAAATATTATCAATAAGTCATTCTGCTTCAGTCTGTTATGTCTTTGTTATACCAGTCATAAAATCATTTCCATGTCTTATCAAATGTGTAATTTGTAAATCCTTTCATCAATAGAGCCAATTTATCACTTTCTGCTGTTTCCATCAGTTTATTGATATATTCTTGTTTCTTTGGTACTTCAGTTGATTTCCAATATTTGGCATATAAAATTCTTGCTGCTGTTGTAAAATAAACCGTCAAGTATCTGATATTTTTATCAAAATCATTTGATAGTATATTCAAAAGCAATACTTCTGGTGTAAATGGTATTGCACATCCTAAGATTTTTTGAAGGTTCGCCCTGTCCCGAGGGTCAGAGAATCATGGCCACTGAGGACACTATGGTTCTAGTACTGTGAATGCTGCCTTCTGGTCCTTGATCTTCCTGGCCAGTTTTGAAGGAACTGGGATGGGGGGGGATAGGCAAACAGGTCACTTGGCCACCGGGATGTTAAGCCTCGATCACTTTGGCCAATGGAAGAAGAAACATGGTGGAGCACCAAGTCACTTCAAGTTTGTTTGGTGATGTCAGGTTTTTCTCCACCCACGTTATGATCTTGATAAGTTTCCTTGTGGTAGATAAAGATCTAGACCATCATTGTATGTTGTTGGTCAGATTAGTACATGTTGACCAAGTATCTGTAGGCTGATGGTAAAGGAGGACCAGATAAATTGTCTGAAGCTCCAGGGGGCTTGCCTCGCTCCCAGACCACCAACCCTATACTGGTGAGCCTTCTAGCATTGTCCACAATCAGGCAGACCATAGACTAAGAAAGATCTGCTTCACCTCCGAGATGTAATGTTTCCTTACCTGAAAGGGATTGAGCATTCTTGCCCTCCCAGTGAGACTGGTCTTTACTGTAAGGGAGCCCTGGTGGGAAGGGTCCCCCCTTGGTCATAACTTGATAGTTGGAAATGTCTTGGAAGCTGCTGTAGTGGTCTAGTGTGTAAGCAAGTTGTGACCATCCTGACACCTAGGTGTTGTCCTTTCGTAGTAGGTGCTAGAGAACTTAACTGAAGATTGACCAGGAATCTGTAGTTCTGCAGACAGTTTATAGTTCTTTCTGTGTCTTGGTGCGCCTTGGCCACAGGGTTTGATCTATCAGCAAGATCTACTGAAGTCAGATACTCCTCTGGCTGAAAGGACTCAGTGATGGATCTGGAGACTCCATTCTGAAATATCTTAATATACTCTTGGGGTATTTTAAGACTAAACTGCCCTTCAATTTCCATTCCTTCTTGTCGCCATGAAGGGGGGAATCTCGTCCCCCTTTTAAGGGAGGGACATGGTCTATGGCCCGAATGTTAAGAAATAATGTATAGTAGCAAGAGTTCTACAAGCTTTTTCTGGCCCCTGTGTGTGTGTGTGGGGGGGATGTGGTGTTCCAGTGGGGTTTGAGGAACTCCATGGAGTATCCTCTGATAACTATTTGTAAGGACCAATTGTCTGCCTGAGAATCGGACTACATGTCCCGGAGTACAGAAAATGTGTCCCACCACCACCAAAAGGGTTTGAAGTTATGCTTTGAATGGCTTATGGCCACAGGTTGGTTTATCATTTCCGCTAATAATTTGTTGAATTAACCTTTTAAGAACCCCGGTTCATCCTTCTGTGATCCTTGTGAAATCTCAGGATACAGTAGAAACTAAAGAAGTAACTCCCGAAACTCCTCTTGTCAGAGTGCTCTAGTGTGTCAGGTTTCAATGTAAGTCTTGTCGAGTGTCCCCAAATGGTCTGACGTTTTAACAAGTATAGGTCATACCTATGGACTTAATATGTAGTGAGATAAGCAAAGGTGGTTTGCTATTGCCTACTTTTGCACAGTAACCCTGGACTTCCTTGATGGTCTCCCATTCAAGAAATAACCAGTCCTGACCCTGCTCAGCTTCTGAGACCCAACAAGATTGGGCTAGCTTGGGCCATTTAGTTTAGGCATCAGTTGCCAAGCTCTGAGCCATAATCTTCTTCTGGCAGCTGTCTCAGATGCCATAGTTCTGGAAAGATGGTAAGGGACCAAAGGTTGTGTTCACCATAGTGAGCTGTAAGAACCCTAATGGCTCCCTCTATCATGCAATGGCTGCTGGCTGAAATAAGTTGGAACAGATTCCTAGAGACAACAGCCACTATTGAGACCGGAGCAGGAGCCTTAACAGTCATAGTGGAGCCTTCATAAGCTTCCTTCAGGGCAAGACACCCCTCTTGTAAAAACTATGCTGGAAAGTGCCCTCACCATCCTCTAACAAAAGCTCAGATGACTGCAAAGTTGTTACTGGAGCATTCATTAGTGGCACCTGCAAAAATCAAGTATAAAATATGATAAAACATACAATTTCTAGTAAAACGTGATTGCTTGCTGGCCATAGGTTTTGCCAGTTCAGCATTTAACTTTTCTCTATTAGCCAGTTGTTGCTAGCTTTCAAGGCCTGCAGATGGAACAGGAATCTCCCTGCAGCCTTGCAGATTGATTGCCTTGGTCTCCAGCAGCTAGTTGTAACAGG